CACCGATTCTATTAATCCGTAACAAACGTCTCCTGCTTTAACGCACCGAGATGTCCTTACGGGGCGCTAAACATCAACCTGTAGTTCTTAGCAAAAGTCTCTTGCTTTAACGCACTGAGACGGACGCTAGCCGCCTTTTTCTACTGAGTGAATTTACACTGGGATACGCTCAACTTAGCGAACAGATAATTTAGGCTTTAAACAATATGCACGGTTCGAAAATAAACAGGTCGTGCTTACCTTTTAATCATGTGAGCTAGCTCTCTGTTCGCCTCGTTTCACGATCTCAGCTCTGCCAATTCATCTCTGGGCCTCGAGCGAATCCCGGGTTTCGGCACCAAAACTGTTACGAAATCAGTTTTACCCCGGTTCTTTTTATTCCTCGAGCATCCAGAGATGGCACCGGACTCAGTAGTCATTTTCACAAAACTTTCTTCATCTTCATTCATCTTTACTCTTCTTCATTTATCCTCATTTAAGCATGCACTTCTAGAAGGGAAGACGAGGCCGGTGTTCCTCTCCTAAAATCTTCAACCCTTTGTTCGTTGCAGCTAGCTTTATAATCTATCCCCTATCATAAAACCCCCACGGTGTGCTGCAAACTCTTTGTCTGTGTCTATGTGCACGAGCACATGAATGCCTACCTGTGCGCGCTCCCTTGTGTCTATGTGAGTGCTCGTGTGTGACTGTGTGCGCATGAATAAGTGTGTGTGTGTGTGTGGATGTGTGTGCGTAACAACTAAAACACGGTGGGGGTAGATGACTCCCTAGAGGTCATAAACCCCTCTCCCTTCTAGACCACAGTTACAGGTATCATAAATGTTGCGATCCCCACCCTAAAGCTTCCTCTGGGGAATTTCCACTCAGTGGGGGAGAGGCCTCCTACAATCCACTCCTAAGTTCAGAACACAAAGAGGCCTTCATTACTCTACACACAGTGTCTCTACAATAGTTCTATATTCTACAATAACACATTTCTAAACTCTAAATCAGCTAAATATTCTACAACACACATGGACTTATGTAGTGAACAAAAAAGTGTGAAATAACTCTAAACATGTTTAATATTTTAGATTCTTCCAAATCTAAAATATTAAGATTCTTCTATCCGCCCTTTGCTTTGATTACGGCTTTGCACAGTCTTGGCATTCTCTCCATGAGCTTCATTTTTCCAACAGTCTTGAAGGAGTTCCTAGAGATGCTGAGCACTTATTGGCCCTTTTGCCTTCACTCTGCGGTCCATCTCATCCCAAACCATCTTGATTGGGTTTAGGTCAGGTGAGTGTGGACACCAGGCCATCTGAGGCAGTACTCCATCACTCCCCTTCTTGGTCAAACATCCCTTACACACAGTGTTGGGAAGGTTACTTTTAAAATGTATTCCATTATGTATTCCAAAAAATAAAATAAAATAAATAAATAAAATAAAATAAAACATTTAAGTTACATTAAATTTGAAATACAGAATGAATTTTACCTAAATATAATATATGAAGTATATTTTTTTTGATAAGCTTACACAGCATTAAGTTTAAGACCAACACCACTCCTTCTTGGGGTGCTATCTGATTAAATCTTCCAGCAAAACTATAAAACTTATTTGCCCTAATTATAATTTTTTGAAAGAAATTTAATTTAAATGCAAAAAGATAATGTACCAAACATTTACTTCAGATTCTTGGTACATAAACAATGAAAATACATTTGGCACCAGCAGATGGCAGCAGCTCAGCACCAGCATGGAGCATCAGTGACCTCCTCATCTTACTGCAAACAGGCTGTGAGAACACTGCTTCTACACTCGTCCCACTCAGAAGAGCACAGCTCTCACCACTGTTTCACTTCTGCTAAAGAAAAATAAATAAATAAATAAATAAATAAAATGTATTCCATTACAGAATACATGCCCCAAAATGTATTCTGTAACGTATTCCGTTACGTTACTCAATGACAGTAACGTATTCTGAATACTTCGGATTACTTAATATATTATCATGCTTTTTACAACAACGTGAATGTACTATTGCTGTGTGATTTATTACTATTACTGAAGGTCCGCGACTCCGAACTGTAGTAAAGGGACCTCTGACTAATACGGCGGGGTCCCTGTCGGCTCGTAGCCGAAAAATAGCTTTACTTTGTTGTGTGGGTCAACTTTTATTGCGAGAGACAGAGAGGCGTTGAAAGACTGCTCCAACGGAACTTATTGTTTTCGGAGGAAAACACGAACACGGTGTACAGTCGAGTCTTAATAGCTTACTTACAACTGGGCTCGTCAGGCACTCTTCTTGGCTGAAGTGGTTATTTTTATATTTACATGTTTCCAGCTCCCGTTTTTGCTCGATGACAACTCATACCTTTCCGCTCCCCTTTTTCTCCCTCCTTGCGCTCACAGACACATAACGTGTATGGCAGTCCGTTCTCCCTGCAACACGGACTACACTGCCCATGATGCTACATTCTTTAGAGCTATGCTTGTAGCATTCTGCCTGTTAGCTTAGCACAACAACAACAACGAAAAGGCCTCTCTCACCCAGGGAACTACACAGTCGCAGAGAGTATTTTAAATACGTAACGGCGGTACATGTATTCCGTTACTCCCCAACACTGCTTACACAGCCTGGAGGTGTGTTTGGGGTCATTGTCATTGCAGGATGCTGTGGTAGCCATGCCATGGTCCCCGTGTCTGCCCTGCCAGCCCCGCAAGGCTACATGTGTTTTTGTTTACTCTCTCTTTCTCTCGCCACTCCACCTGGGTGGAGCTCACTGCGGGCTCCCGCCCTTGGCCCACACACCTGTTGGCCATCAGGCTGCCATTATGTGTTTGCCATTTAAGACCTGGACGTAGATAGTCTCATCCCTGGTTGATTGTGCGAGACACGTTAGTGAGCCTCTAGCCTCAGAGAGGTTTTTGTTTTTTGCGTAACCGATCTCTCTTGTGTATACTTTACCCGGACCCGTAACCTACCCGCTGTGTGGACGTGTGTGAAGAAGAGAGAGAGAGAGCTTCCCCTTCCCGGATTTCCCCCTGGACCATAGGAACCCCGAATTTCCCCCACTGTATATATTCTGCACCTGGTGATTATATAAATAAAACTCTTGCACACAGACAAGGCGGGAGAAACCAAAGATCTCAAATCTGGACTCATCAGACCAAAGCACAGATTTCCACTGGTCTAATGTCCATTCCCAGTGTTTCTTGGCCCAAAAAAATCTTTTCTGCTTGATGCCTTTCCTTAGTTGTGGTTTCTTAGCAGCTATTTGACCCATAAAGGCCTGATTCACACAGTGTCCTCTGAACAGTTGATGAAGAGGAGGTCTTCCTTTCCTGAGGCGGTACTCATGTGAACCAGTTTTCTCGTAGAGCTTGATGGTTCTTGTGACTGCACTTGGGAACACATTCAAAGTTTTAACAGTTTCCCGGACTGACTGACCTTCAGTTCTTAAAGTAATGATGGACTTCTTGATGCATGCTCAATCATCCAGGTATGTAAGTCTCGAAAAGTTGATTCTGTTCATCTGGACGTAGCGTTTTGTGGGAGAAACGTTTCGTCACTCATCCAAGTGACTTCTTCAGTCTCAGCTGACTGCAGGTTTCCCCAATCTTATAAATAGTTCATTTGCATAATGACTGAAACCAGCCCACTGAAGGAAGAGTGGGCTGGGAGGTCAGTTCCTTTATCTTAATTGTGCAAATTCTCATGACCATGGACTGTTGTTTCTCTTTCCTTAGCCGATTGGTTCTTGCCATAACATGAATTCTAACAGTTGTCAAATAGGGCTGTCAGCTGTGTACCAACCTGACTTCTGCACAACACAAATGATGGTCCCATTAAGAAGGCAAGAAATTCCACAAATGAACCCTGATAAGTCACACCTGTGAAGTGAAACCATTTTAGGTGACTACATCATGAAGCTCACTGAGAGAAGGCCAAGGGTTTGCAGCGCTGTCAACAAAGCAAAGGGTGGCTACTTTGAGGAGTCTAAGATATAAAACATATTTAGAGTTATTTATCAATTTTTCCTTTGCTACATAATTCCATATATCTTCCTTTATATACTTGATGTCATCAGTATGTGTTTACAATGTAGAAAGTAGTAAAAATAAAGAAAAAACATTAAATCAAACACAAATAACCCAATGGAGGGCAGTAAATGCAGTCTTCTCCCTGACGCTTCGGTTCATCTGGATCTACCAGTAGCCACTGGCTAGGTCAAAAGTGGAAAACCACTCAGCTTGAGTTACTGTGGTCAGAGTATCTCTTATTTAGGGTATAGGGGAAGCATCCTTGTGCGTCACAGAATTTAGTTTCCTCCATCTTGCTTCCTTTCATCCTTTTTACTCCCCAAGACAAAATGTGTGACCCATGGACCACAACTTTCTCACTTAACTCCTTTTCACTCAGACCTGGTAAGAGGAAAGGGACAACACCTCTCCCTAACTATCAAAATTCAAAAAACAGCTCCCCTGTTGGGACTCAAACAGATCAGGACCTATGGATTATAGGAGCGTGGGTTGTAGACTCGTACGGGGACTCTACCATTCAACTCAGGGCTCTGCCCACCCCCACATCAAGGGCTTCAGGCAGCAGAACACAGTAGTCAGTTCCTCCTGGACCCATATGAGCTTGACCCCATACCAACATTTCGCTCTTTGGGGGGAACCCTAATGTTGTGTCGGTGAGCTAGTTGTACATACCCCACCATTTTTGCATACCGTCTGTCGCTCTCTTCTATTTGTTTTATTTTATTGTTTTTAGCTAACTTTGTGCAACATGTCAGCCCAACATTGTCTTATGACCGCCAGACATTATTGGAAATAGGTTTATCCACGCAGATCTTAGATCAGCCTGGAAACAACAACCAAGGCTTTCTGCCTGTTAAATTCAACTTTAGAGACAAAGGCAGAAAGTAATAACATCTACAATATATTGTCCTTTCAGCACCATATTATCTATTGGACTGTCCTGCCATTTAACTAATGTGTTGTTACTTCACAGGTAATGAAGAGAAGCAGAGCTCAGAGCCTCTCAGAATTGTCTTGCTAGGTAAGACTGGCAGTGGAAAGAGCTCTTCCGGAAACACCATTCTAGGAACAAGAGCGTTCAAAGCTGAGAATAACCCCAAATCTGTCACCAAACGTTGTCAGAAAGCATGTGGTGAAGTAGACGGTCGTCCTGTTTTTGTGGTCGACACTCCTGGACTGTTTGATAACAGTTTGTCACATGAAGAGATCAATGAGGAGATGGTGAAATGTTTCAGTCTTCTGGCTCCAGGACCACATGTCTTCCTGCTGGTTTTAAAGGCTGAAAGAATCACACCAGAAGAGAAAGAAGCATTAAAACTCATCAAGGAAGGATTTGGGAAGAACTCTGAAAAATTCACCATCATTCTTTTAACTGGAGGAGATTCACTGGAACGTGAGGGGCAGTCCATTCATGATTACATTGAAAAATCTGATGATTCCTTTAAGAAGCTTATTGGTGAGTGTGGCGAAAGATTCCATATGTTTGATAACCTTGATGAACAAAACCGGGAACAAGTCACTGAGCTGATAACAAAGATCGATGACATGGTCAAAAAAAATGGTGAAAGCTGCTTCACCAATAACATGCTGCTAGAAGCTGAAGCTGCGATCAAGAAACAGACAGATACAATTCTGAAAGAGAAGCAGGAAGAAATAAACAGAGAGATGGAAGACCTTAAAAGAAAACATGAGGAGGAAATGCAAGAAATGAAGAACAAAATGGAAGAACAGAAAACAGAAATTGAACAAGAAAGAAAACAAAGAGACAAAGAGCTTAAAAAATTGAAGAAAAAGCTTAACAGCAGAAAGAGAGAACAAGAATTAAGAGATGAAGAAGACAGAGAAAGGAAAGAAGAGGAAGAATCACAGCGTAGGGATTGGGAACAAAGGTTTTTAGATTTAGAAGTAAAAATGAAAGAAGAACTGGAATCAAAGCAAATCATTGACAGACAACTGGAGCAGAGCAGAGCAGAAATGAAAGAGAAACAGGAGGTATGGGAGAATGAACAAAAAGAATGGTGGCAGAAAAGAGAGCAGGAAAATGAACTGAGGCAACAGGAGGAGCAGAAAATGACGAGCAAATTGAAAGAATATGAGCAGGAAAAAGAAGTTCTTGAGAAAGAACTAAAAGAAAAGGATTTCCTGTTAACAGAAAAGGGGGGAAAAGAGAAAAGGGAACTACAGGAAAACTATGAGAAAAAACTGATGGAAGTGAAGGAAACATTTGAAGAAAAAGCCAGAAAACAAGCAGAGGAATACAATGAATTCAGGGAGAAATGCATGAAAGAGTTAGAGTGTAAGGAGTGCACAGCCGAAGATGAACAATATGACATCTTAAGAGCACTAAAAGCTCAAAAAGAAGAAAAAATGAAAAAACACAAAGAAGAGATATATAACTTAGTGAGATGTTTCACCAAAAAGAGGGCAAACACAAAAAAAGTCCGCAAGCTATTGAAAAAGCATGAACGTGAGATGAAGAATGTGGAAGATCAAGAGGAAAAGGAGGCCCTCGAGGAAAAACATGACAAAGAAATAAGTGAACTGATAAAAGAACTTATAAACAAAAGTGATGATAACTGTCATATTTTATGAGGCATATACACTTTCAGCTATTGTAAAAGCAAGGCTAGACTTGCGTGTGTCCACCACTTCTGCTCAGACTGAAAGTCAAGAAACATTGGATAGATTTTCATTAAATTTAACTCAACCATTTTGGAAATCAACCACAGCTCCAGTACAGATTAACTTATAACTTCATGTGAACATAAAAATACAGAAATTCAGGATGCCAAAATTGTGTATGGGATTTAATTATCTGCTCTGCTCTGCTCAAGCAGATAAAAACACAATGTAATTTCTTAATGTAAAGAGTTATTGATGGCTACGTTTTAACGGTGTAACACATTCTCAGGGGTCTCAATAATTGTATATTTCTTCATTGGTTATATATAATTACCTTTATTTTGTTTATATACACTACCGGTCAAACGATTTAGAACACCCCAATTTTTCTTATTGAAAATTGTGCAGTTTAATATCTCATTGCACTCTCAAATGAAAGCATAGTACAAATATGCAGTTGAAGTTGTTGCAGCAGTTCTCATAAATGTGGGGCACTTTTATTTTACTTTAATCAATAAACTTCACTCTTCTGTTCAGTTCATCCCAAACCAGCTCAATGGGGTTTAAGTCTGGAGACTGTGCTGGCCATGCCATGTTTTCAAGCTTATCATCTTGTTCTTTTTTCCTGAGGTAGTTCTTGTATAGCTTGGACTCATGTTTTGGGTGATTATCTTGCTGTAGGATGAACCTCTGATCAGCTAGGTGCATACCAGAGGGTATTGCATGGCCCTGCAGAATGATGTGGTAGCTGTTTTTGTTCAGGGTGCTTCTCACTGTATACAAGTCACCAACCCTGGATTCAGCAAAACAGCCGCAGACCATCACACTTCTTCCTCCATCTTTGACAGTTGATGCCACACACTGTGGAACCATCCTTTCACTGACTCGACAGCCAAAGATCCTGCGTAATGAACCGAATATGTCAAATTTTGATTCATGAGTCCATAATACCTTCTTTCAGTCTTCAGTAGTCCAATGGCGGTGTTTCATGACCAGGCAAACCTCTTAGTCTTATTCTGACACTTTAGCAACGGCTTTCTTGCTCCAACTCGTCCTGTCAAACCTGCAGCTCGAAGTCTTCTCTTCACAGTTGAAACTGAGACTTGCTTACTACGACCACTATTAATCTATTAATCTGTGCTTGAAGCTGTTGTCCTGTGAGCCGCCTATCAGGCAACTCTCAGAAACTTGTCCTCTGATGATCCTTAGTTGTGGCTTTGGGTCTGCAGACCGTCATCTCAAACGATCGCTAAAGAAAACTCAGATTTATGATCACTAGTTTCATATTAATATGTGTTATCTTTAATGTTGTATATTTTGTATTTATTTGTTGTTTTGTGTTTTATTGTACTATGAAATTTATGTATTTGTTGTCTGTACTGGGTTGTTGTACATTATCTTATGGTGTGCTAAATTCCTTTTCATATAATTTTTGTCTGACTTGCCAGAGACTACACATGAAAAGTACCTTTTTGGCTAACTCTGGCATACTTACATTGGTATATGTTCACTAATATGCGCTGTCCCTTTTAAATGAATAAAGTCAAATTCCAATCCAGGTCTTTATGCTTCTAGGACATTCCTGCAGTTTATCTGTGTGTTATCTGGCTTCATGGATAGGTAGAGTTGTGCGCCATCTGCATAGCATTGAAAATGTGTCTAATGCCTTCTAATGATACTGCCGAAGGCAGTGGTTCCCAAAGTGGGGGGCGCGCGTATTTAAAAAAGAACGTTTGGACACTGCTATTTAGAGAGTTATCTCTGGGATTCTGGGATGAGAGCTCCCGCAGGACTTCAGAGAATTGGGAACAGAGAGTGATGTCCGGATATACTTTAATGGAAGCTAACAGCAGCACAGCAGTAGGCATACTTAACAAGTGTGGGAGGGGCGGACGTGCATGTGCTTCTAAATGACAAGATACAAGGAGAAACAATTATCACTCGTCAAATCATCACTTCCCAACATCACACCCCAATAATGAACTGCAACAGAAATAATCAGCTGAATGCTCTGAGGTAAGGAAGTCTCACAATACCATTTTGAAGAGGCAGGAAACAAGAATATCTGCATATCAATGAATTACATGGTCTTCAGCATCCTCTAGTGGCTAAATAACCCAACTGGGGTGCACAGATCCAACCCGCAACAAAAGCTACAGAGGTAAGTCACATGCCTCTACCGATCTCAATCAATCTCCTAGCATAAACCCCCTTAAGGATGTAACCAACATCAAAGTACAACCCGTGCTCACCGTAGCAAACAGTGAGAACAAAATGGAACTTATCGGCAGAAATTACCACCACACTTATAGCGATCCAACTGAAATATAAGGAGACTTTCTGACACACGTGCCCCCAAATTTAAGTAGTAAATTTTCTCTTCAACCAAAAGTCTAAACATCATTGGGTTTACAGTCCTCATCATCCTCCCAAGCTGAGAGTCTGATTAATCTGGCAACAGGCCGAAGATATGTCTGTCCTTGATATTCACACATGACCGTCTGGCCCTGGACAGGACTTGACCACCTTGCCGATAGTTTTCAATTCAATTCAATTTTATTTATATAGCCCCAAATTGCAACAACAGTCACCTCAAGGCACTTTATATTGTAAGGTAGAACCTACAATAATACATACAGAGAAAAACCCAACAACCAAATGACCCCCAATGAGCAAGCACTTTGGCGACATTGGGAAGGAAAAACTCCCTTTTTAAAATTTTTTATTTATTTATTTTATTTTATTTTCAGTTGTTACTGAAAATAACAACTGACATGACCAGGGGGAGCGAGGGAAACAAAGACAGCGGGGAAGAGGAATAGTGATGAAGGGCAAAGAAAAGGGGGGGGGGACCCCAAAAAACATATTTTTATACAAACAAACAAGCAAACAAAAGCAGCAATATAATAAACACAACACCATCGCGACACTGTGTATATAGCAGTAAATATTAAATATTGAATATTATTGTGCAGCACGTAAGATTTACAGCGCACAATGTGCTTTGAGGTAGCAGCCAAAAAGGGTGTAGTTTGTGTGTGTGAGCACTTGTGTGTACACCTGTGAGCATGAGCGCACTTGTATTTAAAAGGTTCCTTCATGTAATGATCTGCTAGAGGGTGTGGGGAGCCCCGTCCTCCAGGGCATGAAGCAGGTATGGAGGAGATCAAGGCCCCAGACATCCAGCGATTAACTGCTTCCTCATTTGTTCTGCCACTTAAAGGACATTTAAGGACATCTTTTGAGAGTCTAGTAGAATTTATTCTAGTGACGCTCATGACCATTTGGATTGATGGACATATTTTTCATGTTCATCCAGCTATTTAGTAAATTATATCAGCTACAAAATATAATATAAATATAAAAATATATATATATAAATATCTCCTGACATTTATATTTTAATGATGTAAGACGAGACATCTGTTATTGTGTTACATAAGCATTCCTCACATATCAATAAGATGCTGTACAGTACAATCCTACTGACACAGGAGAGGGATAACGACAGCTATTCAACATCGTTACATGACACATTCGAGCTGCATGATGCAGACAAAGTGACTAAATCATCTTTTTGTGGTTTATTGTCTTCAAACCAGCAGACAAAGGCGATGGCAGAAGAAGTCAGAGAAGTACTTTAGGCCGTGTACTAGTGATGGGAATTCCGGCTCTTTTTGGAGAACCGGCTCTTCGGCTTGACTCACTAAAAAGAGCTGGATCTTCGGCTCCCAACCGGCTCTTCAGGTTGTTTTGTTGCTTTAATTAATTTATTATCAACAACAATATAAAATGATGCACAAAAGAAATTACTAATGCAAAACAACCGTGGTTTTATTTACATGTTTAGTTTTCATTTTTATTTGTTTTCAGTTTTATTTGTCATATGCAAGTTAGCACAGGGTCAACATCGCAATGAAATGTATTTGACGAGCAGAAGACAGTCACTCAGCAGAATGGTACAGTAGAAAAAATAATAAAAAATAAAAAATAAATAGAAAAATAGTAAGAGCAAAATATTAATAAGATGTAGTAAAAGAAAAAAGACTTTCAGTTAACTGACTAAATATATATATATATATATATATATATATATATATATATATATATATATATATATATATATATATATGTATATATAAATATATGTACACACTAGTGATTAAATAAAGAAAATCTTAAATAGGAATGTGGGGGGGGGGGGGGGGGGGCAGATGGGATATTGTACAGGAATGAGCAGCAGTACAAACTAAACAGTACGAAAGTTTTTGTTTTTTGTGGCAGTTGTTACAGTATTGCACTTTTTTAAAAATATAAATATCAATAAAGTGGAGGGACCAGTGCAGATTATACAGAGTACTTGTGAAGCTGCAGGGTAGCTTCTGAGTGCGTCCTGTGGAGTGTGTGTGTGTTTAAGTGTTGCGGTTGAGGTGTCATATGGCTTGATGGTAGAAACTGTTTTTAAGTCTTGTAGTCCGAGCAGACATACTCCTGTAACGTCTGCCAGATGGTAACAAGGAGAACAGCTGATGTGCTGGATGGCTGTGGTCCTTGATGATGCTGTGTGCTTTACGGAGGCATCGCTGAAGATAAATGTCCTGCACATAATTTCCTTAGGGATTAATAAAGTATTCTGATCCTGATTCCAATTGTTTCAGGATACATGACCTGCCATTATTCAATGACACATCTGCTTACCTGTATCTTTTGCTTGTTTCTCCTCCTCTTCTTTTCTCTTTTTTCTAAACTGAGCACCTGATTCTTTGAACTTTTCTTGTCCATCTTCCATTCCAGGTTTTAATTTTGCAATCCAGTATGAACACCAAACCGATCGGTGCCGATGCCATCCCCAAAATGCGCTGGCATGATGTCGGGGCAGCATGAATACGAGCAATTTTTTTTTTTTTTTGCTGATGCCCGCGATGCTACCCTGGGCAACTGGCCATGTCGCCCATATCAAAAACCGCTACTGTACATAATCAGAATAAACCAGAACATAATATCATAATAATGATAAACACAAAACGCTGGGTTCTTGACACAGTGGTTGTCAAGAACACATTTTTTTTCAGAAATGCCACCAAAAAAGACAAACCCAAAGCAAGTGGCGACTGAAATGACGGACCTTGATGAGGCCTCGGCTGAAAATGATGGTGCTAACCCAGGTGCTAATGCTAGCACGTCCACTAGCGCTGCTCATGAGGAGTACATAGAAGGCAATAAAACGTCAGATGTGACAGGACATTAAAAACACAAAAAGAACATGGAAATCACATCAGCTCTAGTACCTTAAACCCTTCAATAATGCACCGTGGTATCTGTCACTCTGCAAACAACACCAACAGTTTGTTAGTGTGACCCCAGCCTGACCTCAGGACAGTAGTGATGGGTCGTTCGCGAACGAAATGGCTCTTAGAGCCGACTCTTTGAAGTGAACGACGCGAGCCGTGTGGTTTTTTTTTTCCTTCTTTCTCACACCCTCTCTCTCGCCCTTTTTTCTGCTAAACTTTGCAAGCGCGGCCTGTACTTTGCGCTGGGCACAGAGCCAGAGAGAAAGAGAGCGAGGGACAACAACGTCACATTAGAAAGGTATAGTAATCATCCACTATTTTCAGTTGCAGATGATAAAGGATTCAGAAATCATGCAGGCCCATATGAGAGAATGTGCATCTTCTTTTTGTTTTAATAGTTTAATTTATATTTAATTGTGTTGTGGTTTGCAGTGTTTTGTGTTGTTTCATGTTAAATTTGTTTAAAAGGAAAAAGCTGAAAATTTAAATAGTTAAAAGTTTAAAATGTAAATAGTTGTTTTTTGTATTATATGATTTATTTATTACATTTTATGTGGAGTGAATAAATAAAAGTATATTCACGGTGGGGCGTAAATTAATGCATCTTTGCCTGACAAACATGGTTTAGACTTTATTCTGAAAGGTAAAAACCGGATATTCCGCAGCATACTCTCGTCAGCTTGATGCTGCTAGCTGTAGGTTCCTCCTCTCCGTACTCAAAAGAGAAAAGCAAGCTGAAATGTCTTTTTTCGTCATTCCGTGTTGTTGAACCGCGGCTGGTGAAAGCCAGAGGACCCAAAATGTCCCCAGGTGGGTTTTTTCATTACTTTTAACCAAACACCTCAAGTTTTTTTCCCACTTTTACGGACATCTTTGAACGAAACGCTTAATTTGTTTTCAGATATCTGCGGTGAATCACGTCCTGAACAAGAGTTCTAATGAAAACACACTGAAAACACCAAGTCGGCACGTTTACTTTAGCACAGCCTTGTTTTTTACCGTTTACCGTGTTTTCCCCCGTTATTTTTGATAGCTTTGAGAGTCTTTTAAACTATGGCGTTCTTCGTGAAAAAGAAGAAATTCAAGTTTCAGACCCATCTTACCCTGGAGGAGCTCACCGCGGTGCCTTTTGTCAACGGCGTCCTCTTCTGCAAGCTCCGGCTGCTGGATGGAGATTTTGTCGCTACTTCTTCCAGGTAAATACTCCTGAAAACAACCTTAAACGTTTCTTCACACATGCAAAACATTGTTTAAAGTACCATGTTGTGGTCTCATACAGTTTGGAAGCAGTTACGGGAGGTTAAAGTGCATCTGTACATCTGAGCTTGCAATTACTGCAGTGTGTCTAAAATGTATGCAGGGTATATTAGTATATTATTTAGTACAGATTCGGTGGTTGATTTTTGGGATAAAGATGCAAAAGTTTGCATCTTAGCAGTCTCTGTTATTCCCTGTGTTGTTTTTAAACCTGTTTCTGCTCTGTTTGTGTTGCACCAGCTCGCTCCATGAGTCAGATTTAAACGCTGGGTGTTGCCATGTTAAGTGGTCTATCTGTGTATCTGCATTGGCACCTCTGCTGCACTGGGCTGCCAGACTAAACACAGCAGCAGCACCTCTAAAACCAGCTCATACTGGTCAGATAATCTTGGTGTACCAGCTCTTTCAGCTGTGTCGGGGATGAGACGGGGAAGATAACTCTGATTTCTGGGCTTTTCATCTTCTCATTTGCGTCACATAACTTCAGATTTTCTTCTTCTGACCTTGATAACGTTCATAACTTTCATCTGTTTTTCCTTCCTCGTTCCTGATTTTCTAGATGAGATCAGGCGAAGGACACACAAGGTCTTTGCTTCAGTGTTTCACACTTGTTGGAGGTTGAATGGATACAGTGACTGTCTGAAGTCAGTTTAAGACCCTCCTGCTTCTCTCTCCTTCTTACAGACTGGCTTACTGAACTGACCTCATTGTGTAAAACAATATGAGGCACTACGCTGTTAGTCAGCTAAGTGCTTTATTGGCGGAGGATCTCTGAAGTGCTTTTAACCTGTTTATCAGATCCAACGATGAGACCACAATTTTCCAGATCTGCTTTCCTATTTCACTGGTTGAAATACTCTGCCTCTTTTTCTTCTATTACTGGGATGTTTCCTCACCCTGTTTGGACCTCATGTACATACAGGCCTGCTGAACTTCAAATCCCACAGCTGACACATGTGTATGTGGGGTGGGAGGGGGGGGTTCCTGTGCGTACTTAAAAAGCAGGTCATCCTCTTCATCTACCCACTCAGCCTCCCTGTTTGCACGTAGCATCACTGCAGACTGAGTGTGTGAGAGGAGCTCACAGAGGGGAAAGTAAACACACAGACAGATCGGGATCATCTTGATCAGGTTTCTTGTCTGCTGATGTTTCCGTTTTCTTACCTTTCATCAGTGTGGCGGGGAAAGCGGTTTGGGACTTCTGTGAGGAGCAGATAATCTCACGGAGGGAGCAAACCTCTGCGGTCAGAGCCCAAAACCTAGTTACTTTGGAGAACATGTTAGTAAATTCAATTACAACACATTTAAAAACAACAGACAGTGACAGCAAGTGATCAAAACATAAGAACATTTATTCATTTCTCATGATTTAAACAGCAACTCCCACTGATTTCAAATCTTAAGGGTGGCCTGGCCAAGGCAGTAGCCATACGAGCTTTAAAAAAAACATGAAAATGCAACAAATAAAACATGAAATAAAAGATCTCTAATGTGATATACTATATACAAATACACACAACAAAACACTAGTGGTTTCACCAGAAAAAAACATCAACGTCTCCTGATGATGCTTTTAAAATCATTTGTAGATATAATTTCCTCACCCAGGTCATTTCTAAAATAAGTCCTCAATAGTAACGCTGTGGGAATCTTTAGTTAGATCAATAAAATCAGATTTATGGCCATCTGCATAGGTGTACTGAGTTTGATTGTATTAAATATTGAAACAGAAAAAGTTTAGGTTATCTGGTAAATGGCAGTGATATTATAGTGCTTTTAATTTAACGTTAATGGTGCTCTTAACCTAACACTCAAGAACTTGGAGTCCAGTGGATGCATAAGGGGGAACTGTACGGTTCAGCATCTTGGCCAATGATACTTGAACATGAGACTAGAGGAGTCGCGGATCAAACCACTGAACTTCTGATTGGTAGACAAGCCACTCTACCTTCTGAGACAGCTTTATTGAGCCTCAAATTTGAGAAACGCTTGTGCAAAAGCTGATGAAACTGGAAACGTGATGTATAACAAGAAGCAAAAGCTACTCTAGTGGAATCCACTGACTTTTGCCAGTTTTGTGTTGTAATATAAACACAGAGGTCTCTGAGGTTCAGGGAGATCCATTGTTTTTATTTTCTGCCTTCAGAGGATTGCAGCTCTCACTAAAATGTTTATCTGTCAAACTAAAGCTCCCCTCTGCTGAGGAAAAAAGCGAACTAAATGCCTCCCCTTTCCCTTTCTCTCGGCTCATGTCCCCTGGAGCAAGGACGGCAATGTCTGAGCCCTCTGTGCCCTCAGAGGTCACTCTCATCTCGGGTGGTTATATAACAGCTCAGTCCTTCCCTGGGATCAGTTATCATCTCTGTGACTGAAAACAAGGGCTCTCTCAGAGGAGGGGACAACAACCGTGGCACAGGGAGGCTCCCTCCACGGCGGACATTAGATTAGGGTTATGTCATAGATCTGACAAGCCCGGTCTTTGTATGCAAGGCCCCGCCTTGTTGAAGGTTGGGGACAGTTGGGGTGGGATTAACAGCGAACGTGTCCAGGGGACTGCGCTGTTGGAAGCACAGAGGGGATCACATGCTGCAAATGTGACTGTCTAGCTCTCAGAGCAGCGTGTCAGGGCTTTTTATTTAGTACAATTGGAAACTTTTTACTGAAGCCATAAAATACTCTAGAAAGTGTTTACTGAGGTAAATGGGTAACCAGAGCAGTCGCCCTCCTGTCTATGTGTCATCACTGTTTTAGCCGATGCTAGCTTGCAACCAACCAACGCTCTCCTTTGGAAACATGAGCCGAGAAACAAAGTGTTAACTGTGTTTTGTTTTTTGTTTTTTTACTGTGCAAAATCAGACTCGCTCAAGGCTGAGGTTTTTTTTTTTTGTATTTTTTTTGAGGGGGGTTGTGTGGCGTCTTTAAATGTTGTATTTTGTCTGAAGAGCAGTGACGCATGACACTAACTGGGGTTATCAAGTCAATTTCCACACTAGAAAAGACAAACATAATATATTTGGAGTCTTGTAGGCGGTGCTTCCCTGCTGGGGTGGTATTAAAGGCGACTGAGTACTATGAAGAAAAATTTATTATATCATGGATTTTAAATCTCATCTGGTGGTAAAAGACTGCCCTGTGGTTTCAAATATCTGTGCGGTTTGTTAATGCTGTTATGGTGGCTTTTACATTAGTCTGAATGACCACAGCAGTGCCTTGCAGGTGGATGTTGCTCAGGTTTAAGCAAAGGGTTTAACTTTTCTGCTTAATAACCTTGTGTTTTCTCCAGAGCCCCCCTAATGTCTGCATACCTGCTGTGTAACACATTGGAGCAACTGAAACTAATAAAGGAGTGTTTTTGCAGGGGTTACTCTCAGTCTGAACTCTCTCTAATGCCACAAAGTGGGTTAATGTTTATACCAAAATATTAAATTGGTAATTATTTTTAACGGGTGCAGTAATTGTTGCCAGCTTTGTGGTTGTTTTGGGACTTACTTGGATAGTTTCAGTTTGGAGATATGTAGCTGCACCCTCCCTGGAGCAAACTGTGCAGAGCTTAGAAGAAAATTGTGAATCACTTCAAGACTTTGCATTGTCTAAGGAGACTGTTAAACATGAGCTTTAAAGTCTAGCTATTGGTGGAATAACTTGGACCCCCCCCCCCGCTTGGTTGAACTAGTCTGTTCAGAGATGTATCACAGTGATATAACACATAAACTCGTCATGCATGCACGGACTTCTTAGAAACTGAGCTAGAAACGGCTTGAAAGAGTTCAGGGAAACAGAAAACAGAGTTGTACTTTAGTTATAACCTTTTTTGGGAGTTTAGCGTTCTGCATTTATCTTTGTATTGAGGGGTAATTACACTGCAACGAGTATATTTTTATAAAAGTAATACAGTAAATCCCTTTCAGATTGTTTTGCTAATCGAGTGAAACGTTCCTCCAGTTGTCCTGCCTTCATGTAGATCCCAAAAAGGAATGTGCAATCAGCCCCAAGAAGCCCGTAATCACCCAATCCCTTTTTTCCTCTTATAAATCTTTCCAAATGGTTTTGTATTGAAAACCAACAAAGACTCGTTCGAATTTGATTTTTCTTTGGTGCTCACTTTTTTAGGCCATGTGAATATAAAGAAGGCTAAAGATTACTCAAAGTATTTTTTAGAAAGTATAGCTATCTGGGAGGTTATCAGCATTCGAGAGTGTCCACTGCGTCGAGTGTGTTGGACTGCTTGTGGAGAATGTGTTTTCACTCTGTAGAGCTATAGAAACCAGATGGTCTCCGTCTTGATTTGGCAGAAGAACATGCTGCAGGAGTTTGCAGGCTTTATCAGCTCTGATTCTTACGGTTCAAAGTTTACATTTTGGACATTCAAGCTGATTCTTTTAATCCATGCTGCTCCTGATATTTCACCACTGCCTGACACCAGTGTGAAAACACAAACACATCAGCCCTTGATGTATTTCTCTGGCCCTGCTGTGACCATTCCTGATAGATAAGCAGCAGGAGATGGAGAGTGTTTCTGTGTTTCTAAGAAAAACACAGGACTTCTGCAGCGATTTGAGACTCTGAAGAAAGTGTGATCACTTTTTATGACTGCATAGTTATGCCAGTTGTACCTGGCCGACTTTTCCCTGGATCTTGTTCTTATTAAGAATAAAATCTTGTTTTTGTTTTAAGTTTAATTTACACTTCTGTGTTCAGTCTGTATAGCGCCTATGGTATAGCCTGTGCAACAGGCAACACAGTTAGCCAGCATTTTCATTTGAGCTAAGTGCCAGTGTTGCAACTGGTCCGCTTCTTATTCAGTCATTCCAGAAGGAGGAAATGACATGTAGTTACATTTCTGCACGGAAATTGTGTTGTAAATTAGATTTAACAAACATCTATAAATCCAACTCAATGTGACTAATGTAATTGTTAGCTTTGACTGGATGCTCACAGG